TTCTTGGTGTTTGGCCACAGCAAACCCCGGGGAGGATGGCGACCCAGGTTTGGGTTTCATCATTGTGAAGCGTAGCCTTGCCCGGCGAAAACGCGCGCGTCGCTCCGTCCCGGCATTGTTTGTAGGGATGGGAGATCTAACACCTACGGCATGCGTGTGCATCAGCACCTATTCGCGAGAGTCACAGCGGCGGTGCTGTTGTTGGCGGTGTCTTGGTGTAATACTTGTTTTGGGGTGTGGTTTGGCAGGTTACGGTGGAAGTGGTGGCCGTTGTATTTTGCGTGGTAAGCAACGTGCGTAGTTTTCTGACACACAAACACACGAGTTTTTTTACAAGCCACATTTGGCATTAGTAGGAAGGAACGGTTGGCCATCGGTAGTCGGCCGTGTGGGAACAATACTCCGTTCGCTCGAGGACGCGTGATCAATGGTCCAACAACTAAGGCATGCAAACGATGAGAGTCCCCCCCCCCCCGCGCCCCCGCCCTGTACACCACATAAACCAAAGACTACGGCATGCGAACATCAGTCCCCCCACACACACACATCTTGGCCGCTGTCACCCGCACTACCGTCCGCACGTGCCCGCAGCGAATCCAACCCAACCCGGAGGTGTACGTCCTCCTTGCCGATGCAGCCGCGGCGGCTAACGACCTCCCCCAGACGGTCCACTTCGCGGAGATGGCCGAGAAGGGCGGCCGGAAGGCCAGCGCGGGAGCGCTTGCCTTCACGCAGAACAACGCGCCTCCACGAGAATAGACGAAGCGCGAGGCGTCTTGCCTGCCAGCAAGCAGAATGAATTCTCTTGACAAAAGGTCGAGCGCAGCGTGGACGTTGTTCCTTGCCTCCTATTAGCAGTTCTCTTCCGAGATGGACAAAAGAGCGAATGAATGCAGCATTTAACGTTATTCCTCGCCTCCAAGCAGAAAGCCCTTCCACCAGACAGAATAGACGAAAGGGCAAGCGGGAGATGACGTTTTTTGTTTTTTGGCCCAGGCTACGCCGTGTTTTGTTAGACTATTGCTCTTTTTCCGTATGCGTTCGATCGGCCCGGGTTTAGCTTGCGGAGGTTCTGGACAGAGAGGCGGGATAAGGTGTGTGTGTGACGTGAAAAGAAGAAAAAAGCCCCCACGGGCATGTACGGTATCACCTTTGGGTTGGTAGTCGGTCCCTCCTGGCACTTGATTCTACCGTGACGTGGTACTCAGCCCCCTCTTTGTCTTTTGTATGACAGCCGGCCACCCTGGTACGCGTTTGTTTCTGGCAGAAGACGTGTTTTGGATGGTCTTCTTGCCTACGATGGAGCCATGTTGGACCTGCTCTGTTGAGTGGTTGGTGGATGGCCAAACCTGCTTTGAGATGGTTGGTGGGTTAAACCTACGTCAACGTTGATGGTGGCCGAACCTCAGTTGCGATTGCTTACGATACCGCCCTGCGTACTGGACCTATCCATGGGAATCTACGAGGCCCTATCCATGGGAATCTACGACCGAAGAAACTTCATTTGAGAACCCTGGATCGGAGATGCTGCCGTCGCAAATATTGAAAACGACGCGAAGGCCTTCATTCAGGCACGTGCACGTACGTGTGGTTGGCGATTGCCATATTCCTGGCGTCATCATTCAATCATCCACCGGTGAAATAGAATTTTGTGAATAATTTCCCCGAGAGGTGACGTCACGACGGTGGATGACGTCACCGGGTGACGAGAGACTTTTCGCTGACCGGAAATTTCTGGAGAGGACGGCGGGCACAAGGAGGTGAACAAGAAGACAATTGGCGCCATCAACCTCTCTTTCTCTCTCTCTGTACCGTGGTTGACGGACTCCTTGCGGTCGATAGAAAAGGTTGTCTATATCCACCAGATCAGCGTCGAACTCTTTTCCTCTGTTCGTTCTCTTTTTGTCTATGGCGCACAGTCTACGTACGTATGCGCCGATTTCGGAGACATAGTGGCCCACTTCTTTTTTCGGAGCTGGTGAGGTTAAGGACTAAGCAATCTGCTCAACCGGGTCATACCATGTCCACCCATCTCTTGAGTCGACGAAAACAAGAAAAAGCAGTCTACTCAAATCGGATCCTATCATATCCACCTATTATCTCTGAGTCGACGAAAACAAGAGAAAGCAGCCAACCCAAATCGGATCCTATCATGTCCACCTATCTCTGAGTCGACGGAAACAAGAAAAAGAAAAAATACGAGAACGAAAGACGCACACACAGCAAACGCAAGGACAATCCTATAGAGCTAAATCAGTCGGTCAGACAATGAGTCGACGATGCCACTCCCCTCTCTCTCCAGAGATGTTCTATTTGAGAGAGCTCTCTTTTTTGAGACCATGAACGACCGATGAACAACAAAACGAACAACGTGGCATATGCACCTAGCACTCTAAGACCCCCATCTCTGGGGGTTGACGCGGGAGCGGCAAGAAACGAACAACGACAACGCTTTCCTGCCGAGAAACCGACAAAATAAACACGCAACACTTGAGAGAGGAGATTACAACACATGTCTCCCCTACATCAACTTCGGCACAGAAACAAAAAACGCCGCTCTTTCCTCTCCCTTCCATTCACAATGAATGATCGATCACACAGCAGGCATGAAGCATGCGTGTCACTTTCATTCAATGGCAACCGATCACACAGACAGGCAAGTATTAAAGTAGGTGTGTGTCGTGATATGACGGGACGCGATCACGCCTTCTTGTACTCGTCCAACACCCGCTCGACGAACGGAGGGTTTCCGATGATGATGGGGCACCGCTCGTGGATGTCCTTGGGGGTGATCTCCAGCACCCGGCCGATAGACCCATTGAACATGCCCGTTGACGCGGATCCTCCGGCCTGCTCGATGATGAGGGCCATCGGGAAGCCCTCGTAGAGCACTCGCAGCTTGCCTATTCACATTTTTTGTGTGTGTATGTGTATGTGTGTGTGTGTGTGATTTTTTAATTAGCGCTAACCGGCTGACGGCAAAAAAAACGCGTGTGTGTGATTTTTTCATTAGCCCTAACCGGCTGACCATTGAAAAGACGTCAGTGCTATAGCGGCAAAAAAAACGCGAACGCGTGTATGTTTGTGTGTGTGTGTTTATTATTAGCATCGACCGCGCTAACCGGCTGACCAATGAAAATACGTCAGTCTCAGTGCGGCTGAAAACAGAAGGCACTTCTAAAGGCGATGATCTGGGACCCCGTGAGGGGGCATGTCATGAGAGAGGCTAGGCTATTCTTCGGGTTACAGGCAGAAACCGTAGCATACGACGAGAAATGCAATTTTCTACTGGGGGTTCCGTGATTATGTGTTTGTCTGTTTGTGCAGTGGCAATCAAGCGAAAAAAGTTTTATTCATGTGTAAAGGATACAACCACACACGAACATTTTTAAACTGCTACCGAACAAGCCTCTCTCATATCACTACACACACAGACTTTTGCCACCAATGCACTGGAACAACACCACGCCTCCTTTTCGTCGCCTCTAACCCACCCTTGGTGGACTTCTTGTCCGCGGGGTAGAGGAATAGCCCGCCGTACAACAACGTCCGGTGCACGTCCGAGACCATGGACCCCACGTAGCGCTGCGCCCACGGGGGCGACTCCGTCTTGAAGCCCATGACCGCCCGCTTGATCTCCTCGTCCCAGCTGTCGAAGTTACCCTCGTTGCACGAGTAGATGTTCTGACGTGAAATGGAGAAAAAAAAAAAAGCAGCGGAGGATCGAGCACCCAAAAAGTGAGTCGGGCAGGTGTGTGTGTGTGTATGTGTGTGATGATACAGAGACCATGTTGAGACGAAGGCTTTGAATCTCGAGGAGCGGAAGAAGATACACCGATTGGCCAATCAGAAGCCAGAAGTGGCATCGTGAGTCGGGGGGGGGGGGGGGGGGAA